AACAATGATAATGTAAAAAGCCACTTTTACTGTTTTTTTGAACACCATCTAATGCTTCATTTATTATTAACTATTATATATTATGTGACATCATTTTTTAAGCGTTTTTGCATATATGCAAGTTGCAGAAACTCGTATTAGGAAGAGGCTGCCTGCGTAGTGTGTCTGTGTGTTCGCACTTTTTGTCACCTACTTTCAACTCGAGAATCAGAAAAGCTAGAAGGCTGATATTTTGGGAATACATGCCCAGACAATGCGCGATCCTCCCATTTTGATCCCATCCTCCGCGCACCCCTGGTGCCGCGCACGGACGCCTTGGAAAAATATGCAAATTTTTTAGCGGGAAAGGGATCTCGGCAACCAGACAAGGTAAGGAGCTGAAACTTTGCAGAGATAATCCCCGTGCCTGTGTAAGCTAAAAATTTCAAATTCAGCGCCCAGGTATGCGTGGTACTCAAGTAAAGCTGTAGGATGTTTTGGGAGGAAAACCCCTAACTCGGAGACCGGGAAAGCCAGAAAGCTGAAATTTTGAGAGAATGTTTCCTGTCCAAGTACAACCTAAATATTCCATATTTAGCTCTCAGGTGTACGTGGTGCTCACGTATGAGCACATGAAAGATTTGGCGGGAAAATTGTTTACTTTCAAAGAAATACCGTTAAATGGAAATTGTTTACTTACTTTCTGCAAAATTTATGGTGATTTACGCTAGTGAGCGCAAAAGGTAGGTGTAAAGGAACAACCATTCACTTAGTTAATGTCTTGAGTACTTCAAGTCTGGTGCAAAAACGCATGATCACACCGACAAGCCTGGTGCGTTTCAACCTGGGTTTGCACTTTTTGTAGCATGTTTTTCCTCTCCCCTTTCCTCCCGCTCCCCTCCCCGTTCCCTCTTCCGCGTTTCTTATGCATTTTCGAACAGTGGGAAAGCCATTACTTTCTAAAACATGAATTTTTGGTTTTTATTCAAAAAACTGTATAATTATGTTATCATATTTTAATTCCTTCTTTACGTCTTGCTATTTAACAATATTGTGGTGCTTTTTGTTTGTTTAAAAATATGTGAATTAGTTGAATATTTTCTGTGGTGAGTTTCAATCATGAATCACTGAGCTTGCACAAGTTTCACCTAAAAAAACCTGAAATTCAAAGACATAAGCCCTGAACAAAAAATGAACAAAAAAATTAAAGATTTAGAAATATAAATTAACCTTTTTAACGAACACATTTTTAAGCCCAGGTAACAAAGTAGGAAAAAAATTTTCGGTGCAGACATTTGCTTTTGCTATAATCATGAAACAATCAGACTGTAGACAGTATGAATGGTCTCTTCTTACAGTAGTTGACCACTGACCAATAAGAAGTTTGGGCTATTGCGAAGCAGGCTTAACTTTTTCAGGCACGAGACTGAAGACGTAATCTCGAACTATTATTTCAATTTTTTGGAAGGAATGAGAATCATCGAAATAGCAGCAATTCTTATGATTCCCGTGCTTCTGTTTGGCTTGTTTGGCAACCTGCATTTGCTTTACGCAACATACAAAATCAAACATCTACAAAATCGCAACGGAATTTTGGTTGCAATAATTGCCTTCTTAGATATGGTAAATCTTTTAATTTCAAACTAATTACACAACTGCTGGGACAGGTAGAAAGGAAAATTTCGCATCATTCAGTTTATTTTGACTAGTCATGTGAATCTATTGAGAAACTCGGATAAGGCTGAAAAACAGCAGAATACCAACTAAACGTATGCGAAATCAATCTTCAGTAAAATTTGACGTTCCCACATATTCGATTGCTACCAGTGACTGCTTGAAAACTGCTTTCTAAATAATGGGTAAATGGGGGATTTTTCACAAATCAAATTGAGAAATATTACTTTTATGCAGTAAGCAATAATTTTTCCAGCTTTTCAAAAATGCGTTGCTCATACCTTCCAAATGCAGACTGCTGCACTTAATCACTAGAAACTGAAAATACGTGCGGTGGTCGAAAGAATATCTATATCCGTGCGTCAGCTTCTCACTAGAAGGGAACTACAGTTACACGTAATCGAGCATCGGATTTACTAGTAATACCAGTCATAAAGCTCTTCTCTCGCATCTTTTGTATTGTTTCAATGGCATGTGATACGTTGAAAGTTGCAAAATTTTCTATTGAGAATAAAAATAACAATGACAACAGTAGACAAAAAATTCCAAAAAATAACAATAGCATCCAGAAATAACGCAGCAAGCGCAGCAAAAAGCTGGTATTACACATAAGAACTCACAAAACTTTCTGCTGGACTAGGACAGGGCGCACTGGTGCTTTTATTTTATCAGTGTTGCCTGCCGTAGGGAGCAAAGGTCGGGGAAGGATTTAGGTCTCAGCGTAATGGAACACCTCTCTTTCTGACCAAGCGAACCCTTGTTAAAATACATAAAGAATAATGCCCTTTTATCCATTATACTGCAGATAAGTGGAATCCATGAATCAAAGATTGCGATTGAAATATTGTCTGGTAAAGCGTTGAAGCCCCGCAACGTATGCTTTCGCTCAATCGTCCTGTACGTAATTTCATTCAACATGGCTTGCGTCGAAATCCTTTTCCTCGCCATTGATCGATTCATTGCTGTTTGGTCACCGTTAAGGTATGTGAAATGATCCCTGACATGAATGTATCCTGAATTTTTCAGAGTTTTTGGAGTGAAGAGAGGGGCAAGGAGGGACGTGGATTTTCATGTCTTGAGTTACCGTATATTTATTGCTGCTGTGGGAAGTGGAGGTTTCGCATTGCTGGTTGCTGCTGTAGAGGATCCTCTCAAATTCGGCTGTGTTGGACTGGTGGTCGCCCTTCGCAAAGTGCTTGATTAACCGAAGCAATAAACACTGGCTACGGTAGCGCACTTTGAGGGAACTTGAGATTCGTCTACTGAACATGGAAGCAGGTAGTGTAAAGGAAACCAAATGTGATGTTATGGTGGCGAAGTACTTAGCCAAAAAAAACGCCAGGTTCCATCCAGTAACTGTGCTTTTCCCAAAGTCTACATTTTCGTTCGTGAACCTTCAGGCCGGTTTGTGAGAGTGGCTGGAAAAAAATCAGCAGCAATGTAGTTGCAAAAAATTTTTTTCTCAATTTTTTCGAATTTCCGCAATCTCTTTTTCTTTGATAACATCTATTTTTAGTTATCGTACTATCGGAAGCAGACGCTTCATTCTTACGGCAATTGCTGCCGGTCTCGCCTATTCAGTACCACTTGCAGCTGTCAATTTTGTCATAGTCGATGATAAGGTGATAAGTCAGTGATTTTGCAAAATCAGAAATTCGCTAGCCTTACCGGCACCCTCTGTGCCATTAAGATGTTTTGATACAGGATTGCCAGCATGTAAATTGGAAAGGGCGAGGAAGGAAAAAGATGATGATAACCCAAAGGAAGGATTGCCACCTAGTTTCGATGCTGGAGCAGGAGGTGGAGAAAAGGTGAAGCTGGAAATTTTTTGTAAAGCTAGCTCATGAAATTTTATTACCACAGATTTTCTTGTCACTTGTAGATCGTACCATCGAAGCCATCTAGATTTCCAGCATGGAGGCTTTTCAGATACTATTTCTTACAGAAAATGCTTTTGTGGCCCATAACTATCACCCATTTCTGCATCATGCTTTTTCACTTCCACTAAGCCCCGCACTAGACAATATTTGCTCCAATTATGCATAGCTGTTGCTGAGTTTAAAAGGGTAATTCCAGAGCCTTTTTTTTGTATCGATACACTCGCGTTTTTCATCCATTTCTCCACTTCTGAATATGGAATCACGTTTTCTAGTCGCAAACTCATTTATGGTATTCTGCAGCGTGTGCGGGCCGAAGCACACAATCTTGTCAAAGTGGAAAAGTCAAAACTCTCTTTATTCACTCTCTACAGGAAACGGCGGCACACAGAAAGTAGTCCGAATGGTAACAACACTAATCACTGGTCAAGCCTGTCGCCCTTTTTTAAGACCATTACTGAAAAGCAAGCTGACTGTGCGTTCGACTCCATGCCATTACTTCTTTTGATGGCATCGCCGATTTAACAAATGTAGGGAGTGACCGAATTTTAGTTAGTTTTCAAACTGGTTGAGCGGTATCCCTGATTTGCTTTAATAGCGCTACTTCTCACCTCTTCTACAGCCTAGCAAATGACTAAGTGTATTTAAAGCTAAAAGTCACACTGAAGATGCCAAAATCAAAGAAATTTGTGAAGGACGAAAAAATTCAGAAAATTGGAAATTTGTTGAAGACAGAGGAATTTACTTTTTAATATCAAAGAAAAAAAACGGTTTAGAAAACTTACATAAAATTTGTTAATAACATGATGTATATTTCAGCTCATTGAGCCTTGCAATCCGCCAATGTCGTATGCGCAACTAATTGGACTAGTCCGAAATAGTGTATATATTACCATCATTGTGCTCGTGGTTGTCCTAAATGCTGCCAGCTACCTTATTATGCA